AGAGCCCACTCACATTGCTGGTTTGATCCTGGCTCTGAAACTTCCTATCTACTTGGGCAAGTCTCTACCTACTTTTTCCACTTCCTCGGATGGAGTTAAAAGGAAAGTGAAAGCCTTTTGTAGACCTGGATCCAAGCGCTGGCTGATATGATTATGGTGCTGTTTCTCCCCTTTCCTCTGCACCATGGCTGGGGCTATCTGAACACAGCTTTTGTTCTGGAGTTTTGGAGGGTTCAGGACAAAGCCTGCATGTGGAGGCCATGGGGGCATTTTATTTTGGACTTTCAAACTGGTTTACTGTAGAGCTAGTGGGCTGGTGTTTGGTGCGGGTCCAGAGATGCCTGGAAGAGTTGCTCTGTTCTCCTAGCCTGCTTCAGGGCAGTGGCAGCAGCTCTGGGACCCTGTGGTGAGGGGGCCATGGCTGCTGTCCATGCTGGCAGGAGGCATAGATGTGACTGTAGCCGATGACTGTTTAGGATGCTGCATTTTAATTTCTTCCTTCTCCTCCTCCCTGCTTCCAGGGGGAAGGAGGGAGAAGGCCCTGCGTAGCCTTTGTTGTTTCTACAGTTGGGGGATGGAGCCCTCTGGAGCCCTGTTTCTCTCTCTGGCCTACTCTGACCAGTGGAGCCTGCCTAATGCATCCTGGGGGAGGCTGCTTCTGCCTCGGGCAAAGCAGCTTGAGATGCCCTGCTGAGGCTGGGGACCCAGCCAGGCCCGTGGGAATGTGTGTGTGTGTGTGTGTGTGTGTGTGTGTGTGTGTGTGTGCGCGCGCGCACGCTCATGTGTGTGCACAGGGGAATGGCCACATGGGATGATAGGCTGTTTGTCTGTCACCAGTCCTAGTAAGGGAGGTGTGTGGAGGCTGGTCGGTGTCTGGTAAGACACACTACCCTGCCCTTGATTCTCAGCTGGGTGGACAGTAGCTAGAGCACTTGAGCAGAGGAGGGCCAGGGAAGCAATCTCCCAACCCTGACAGGGCCTGGGCTATTTTAAAGGCTTGCTCTTGTCCATTTTTGGGGGGGTCTATCCCCATCAACTCAATCAATAGAGCCAAGTTCTAGGCTTTCCTCCCTCCCTCCTTCCTATTTCTCTACCCCTACCTGATCCAACTCAAATATCACCATCTTCAGGATGCCGCTGCTGGACCCTCTAGCAGGATGGCTTATTCTCTCTCTTGAGTTCCCATCCTCTTTTTGCTCCCTCTCAATCTGTGGGTACTCTCTGCCGAGTAATTACTAATTACCTATAATTCTTACCTTGTGTTTTCCTCTTGACAATGAGAATCTCAAGGTGGTCATTGTGCCTTATCTGCTATTCTTCCTGCCTTACCTTTACAACCCTTTATCCTAGAATGGAACCCTTAGTAGCTAGTTGCCATGATGGCCCCCAAATGCCCGACTCTTGAGCTTCACCAGGCCCTTCTCTTTCCTGCTGACCATGACTGAACTCTGATAAAGAAGACATAGCAAAGGCTTCTGTGGTGAGTTCCTCAGGGAGCCTCAAGCTCTTATCTGCTCTCCTGTACTGCTTGACCTGCAAGGCTACCATGTTGACAGGATACTCAAGCAGTCCTGTGGAGGCCTGTGCACCCACAGCTAGACCCAGTGAGCCTACAATGAGATCTAGCCACATCAGAAGTAGATTGTCCAGCCCGGCTGAGTCTTCCAATGGTGGCAGTTCTGGCAAAAGGCTGGACTAAGCCTCACAAGTGTCCTTGAACTAAAGCATCCCAGCTGCACTGTTCCTGAGTTCCTGACCCAGGAGAGAGGTTGACTGTTTCTTGTGGTTTGGGGAGACAGTAAGTGCCCCAGTGCTCTGGGGGGAGGGGGAGATTTTTCCTGTGTGTGGCCTTGGTGAAACCAGCTCCCAAAGAGCTCCATATGTTCCAGGCCACAGACAGAAATCTCTGACCTCAAAGAGAACCACTTTTTACCCAAGTGGGGCATTATCCCTAGTACTGTGTTCACATGGCTCTTTGGTCACTCTACTCATCAAAAGCCCACTGTGTGCCTAGAATATACGAGTCATTGTATGCATATAATTTTAGTTCCGGGGCAGGCTGGCTGTCCCTAGTCATCCTATTTCCCATCTTTTCCTACTCCAGACATCTCCAGATTTCTAAAGGGCCTGTACAGCTACATCCTTATTTTAAGTTGCACGTCTTACCCTATCTCTGGGAGAATTGGAAGCTCAGAAGAGGACATATCCAGAAGCCTTCTTCTGGTTTGTAAGTAGCTGGATATGTGCCTACCCAGTTATGATTCACATAGAAGACCCAGCTGCCCCTCAGGTGGACTGATCGCTCTGCCCATAGCTGGGATGTGGCTGCTACCAGGAGAGCAGTTTCTGCTGTGGTTGAGTGCCACCTGGTGGTGCAGAGCAGGAACTTAAACTACACTGGGGCGAAACCAGAACTTTGTTTTAGTAAAAACACTAAATACATTTCTTTTAAAAATATACTTTTCATATTGTTGGAGACACTATGTATCCCTGATTGTCGTGGCTTAAATTTACTAATCTGTTTAATTTGTATTACTAGAGGTTAAACACGGAGCCCGGAGCTTGCTAGGCAGGTGCTTTATCACTTGATCCATGGCCCCAGCCAGTTTTGCTCCTGGTGTTTTTCAGATAGGGTCTCCTGCTGTTTGCTGCCCTTGTTTTTGAGATAGGTTTTCACTAAATTGTTTTTTTTTAAATCTCAAACCATAATCCTACCATCTTCACTTCTCCTGTGGCTGGGATTATAAGATTGCACCACTATGCCCAGCCTTAAAGGTACTTTAGCCTAAAGTAATTGTATTGGTATACCCATACAAAAGGCTTTAGTCCCAAGTGGACGGAGTCAAAAAGTTTGGCAAGCACACACCCCTCCAGGGATCTCCTCCAACCCTACTTGCCTGCTGCCATCTGATTTCATGCAGCATAGATCAATTGGACCTGGACTGAAGACCCAGTTAATGGGATGACACCAGCACTGTTGGTGTATGATTCATTCTCAGTTTTATTTTGCCACAGTCGGCTGCCGGTACTTGGGCCAGTTCTAGTTTTTGGCTGCACTGAATAAAGCAACCATAAAGACTTAGCACATGTCTCTTGGAGTGCACGTGTGTGCTGTGCTACCTTTTCTGTGTGGCTAACTTGTAGGCTCAACGGCAGTGCAACACACTCAGCAACATCCAGACCTGTCACTCCTCAGCCACTCTGGTGTGGGGTCCTGCGTCTGCATTGTGCTTTGTCAGTGACCAGCCCTGACAATGGAACATTCTTGTCCATTGGCCATTTGGCTACCCTCTTTCCAGAAGTTCCCATCCCCTGATGCTTTCCTTCCTTCTTTCCTTTCTTTCCTTCTTTCCTTCTTCCTTCCTTCCTTCCTTCCTCTTTCTTTCTCTTTTCTTCCTTCCTTCCTTCTTTCCTTCCTTCCTTTCCTTCTCTCCCTCCCTCCTTCTTCCTCCCTCCCTCCCTCC